CTATTTTTGATAGGTTGGTCTGTTTTTTCCCTTTGTGTAAAGACAGATGCAAAAAATGAGTTAAATAGTTCTGCTTTCTCCCTGTTGCTTGTCACCTTCTTGTCACTTCCACCCACTAATGGACCACTCATTTCCTTCACTTTTTTCTTGTTTTTTACATGTTGAAAGAAGCTTTTTTGTTATTTTTGACTTTGGTCTCAAGCCTTAGTTCATTTTGAGCCTTGGCTTTCTTCACTTCATCTTTGCAGGCTCGGGCTATTTGCTGATATTCTGACTTAGTTATGTTCCCCTCTTTCCACTTTCTATACTTGTCCTTTTTATCTTTCAATTTGTCAGAGAATTCTTTGTGCAGCCATGCTGGTTTCTTTTGAGAGCTGTTGTTTTTCCTCTTCATTAGTATTGTGCTAGACCAGTGGTTCTCAACCTTTCTAATGCCGCGACCCCATAATACAGTTCCCCATGTTGTGGTGACCCCCAACCACTTATACATCACCAGGTGCCAGGGGCGTGGCCAAAGAAAAGGGGGGGAAAATGGCGGACTGCGTTGTTTGGCGACCCCCGTGAAATGGTCGTTCGACCTCAAATGGGGTCCTGACCCACAGGTTGAGAACCACTGTGCTAGACTGTGCTTTTATTATCTCATTTTTCAAAATTTCATTTAGCTAGAAATGTTCTGTTAAAATACAATATACTTATGTGGCTCTATTAACACTCTCAGATTACAGAATACAGTTTTTAAGTGTTTGCTGCAAAACCCCAAACCTATTTATCATATTAACTATGAAATACTTAAAAGTGTATTTATCTAACAAGTTTAATTTTCCATGTTAATATAAATGAATAGTATAAATAGTATAAATTCAGCTACTTTAAAAAATGATATATGAATGTATCCAGATATTTTTAACTAGTAAATTGGATATATGACAACCCAGTTGGAAACAGACAGCAATAAAACTACAATTTACAAGTGTTTCATATTATCAAGTGATTCAAGAAACATGTGGATAAATGCATTTTTATCTGCCACATAACTTTTTCAAAGCCAATATTTGTTTTATTACACTGATGGGATGTTTTTCTTTTATAAATTGGGGAAAGGTTAGTTGCCACTTGACTGTGATGAACTTTATTTTCGGTTGGCTCTTCTAATTTCCAATGCAATTAATTGTCTACTTCTGAGAGTTATTGCCTGGCTGAGTGAAAAGCAATTAATTTGCATGCTATGCTACTGTATTCAATTGCGAAAACAAATCACCATGCCTACATCAGGCAGAATGAATGTGAAATTTGAAACAACTATTAATGAATATTTAATTATTAATGAATAATCAATTAATTAATGATTACATCTGCATCCAGCTCTTTGGGGGTGGAGTGGGGGATTTTTATTTTTTGCCTAGTTTTGCACTTAAAAATGGAAAATATTTAAACTGCTAGAAGGAAGTGAGGAAGACAACCATCGCAAGAGACGCTTCTGTTTTAACCTTTTTCTCTTGTCATTTTTCAGAGTTTAATCCGTCAACACCCACCCCCGCACAACACCAGAAGCTGTGCACCATTGCCGTTTGCCTGCCATCCCCACCCCCCACAGCTCCTCTTTCCCTTCCTTTGAAACAAACAACTCCCCCCCCCCTCAAATCCTCCCATTCCTCCCTTTTGAATTAAAACAAAAGAAAACCAAGGTTTTTCTTTTGTGATCTTTACATATTTAAACTGCTAGAAGGAAGTGTAAAGGAAATATAAAGACCACAAAAGAAAAAAAAGTAGTTTTCTTTGTTGCTGTTGCTCCTTGTTGTTGTAGTTATTGTTCCCCTCTCCTGGGAAACAGAGGGGCTATGGGGAGACTGTGCCTGCGCTCTTCCCTCTGTCCGAGGTTTTCATTCTCATGAGCATTTATGTCTGAGGTGGGGAGCTGTTTGGTTTTTATTTTCCTCCCACACCTGTCTACTTGGTGGTTGCAGCAGGTTTTGGTCACTTCTTTCATGCTGGGAAGTTACCCACAAAGTACATTTGTTTTGGGGGTAATCCCCACTCTGGTTGCTGAACTTGCTTAAACTCTCTTCCTCCTCCTCCTTGCTGGAAGCCTCCCTTTATCTGCAACAGTGGGGATAATGGGGATCTGCCCTCTGCGGAATAGGGGTAGTGTTACTATGCTCCCTGTCATTCAGGTTTGATTTCCTTTTCTCACCCCCCCCTCCCTCCCGTGCTTGTAGCTGCCTCTGAGCCCCTCATTCTTGGGAGTTAGCATTGCCGGCACCTCTTCCTCCTGAGTCCCTCATGCTAGGTAACTGTCACCACCCAAGAGCTGTTTTAAGGTTCAGGACTCTTTGGGAATAACCAACTAGCACCCCGACATGCTCCCTCTTCAATGCCAGAAGCCATGCCCTCCCACAGCCCCTGAAATCACCTATCGGCAATCACACACTGCCCCCACACCACCATGGCTTCTGCCTACCACATGATTGGCTGGTGGCTATCTGTCTCGTGTAGCCAAAGGCCTGGAACAAAGGTTGCTTTGACAAAAGGGCCAGTTCAAAGGGCATGGGCAGAGGGCCAGGGGCCCATTGGCCAGGGAGAATGGCTGGGAGAGAGCCAGCAGAGGAGGAAAGATGGCTGTAAATGGGCTGAGGTGGGAGGCTCGAGGAGAAGGAGGCATGGCCAAATACCCATGCCTAAACGTCCCATTCCATTCACTGGAGAAAATGCAGGGACTTCAACTAGTACAGATTTTGACGAATCATCTGTTAATCTTCTTTAGGTATAGGGCTATATCTATACATATATACATATATCTAATCTATATATCTATAGCTATATCTATATTGAGAGAGAGAAGAAGGAAAGAAGGAAGGAAGGAAGGAAGGAAGGAAGGAAGGAAGGAAGGAAGGAAGGAAGGAAGGAAGGAAGGAAGGGAGGGAGGGAGGAAGGAAAACAAAACCAATGTATAAGCCTTAGAATTTCCACAGAAAAATAATTTGAATCTCTGTAGAAAAATATCACAAACCAGCAAGTAGATGCTTAGTGCCTCACTAAAAGTATCTACAGTATTGTTTTTAAAGCTGAAATCTGTATATGCAAATTACAACCTTTCCAAAACTGAGCCATTTTGACAGAAAGTATATTTGTAATTTAAGTGGCTTAGGTTAAGAAAAGTTTTAACTAATTTAAATGGAATTGTTATTTTAATGGAGAAATCATTTCACTCTGATTCTTGGTCTCATAAACTCTTTGCAGTTCAAGCTCTACTTTTGTGCATAACTGACAGAGACTCTGCTTGAAATAATACTACTCTGATGTATAGGGATCACAAAGTTCATGCGGCACAGGCATCAATTCCAAAAGACAGTATGATTCATTCTAAGGTACCTAAATGTGCAGCATTAAAATGACCAGCAGCTATTGTATATACCATACATGGCATTTATTTGCTAACCTAATGTAACTACAATGTTTAATATATGTTTTTACTTTTCAGAACAGTTAACAATTGTGGGTGAAACAGAGGCTGATATCATAGTACCGTAATATCACTTGTACACATAGAAATGTGTAATTTAACAATGAAATTTTATTGGCAGGACTCCTAGCAAGTTATTTTCCCCCAGAGGTATCCACAACTCTAAATACAGCCCTCAAAAAGAAATTACTACTTATGAAGGTAAATCTGGAAAAAATCAGGCCAGAATGTGCAGGTGAGATAGTGAGAAAGGTTACTCTTTCTCCTTTGTAACATTGTGCATATGCACAGTCAATGAACAGATACTAATCTTTATATTTATTTTGCTTATTATTTTAAAAGTTACTATGAATTATTTATTCAATGGATATGTATGGCATGAAGAATGAGAAAAGAACTAACATATTTCTCTTTCATTGTTAGTTTAATGATTTTGCACAGCAAACCTAAATCCTGAAATTTCAAAATTGAAACAGAATTTTTTTAGAAAAGGATGGATTTTATGCATGATACATAAGCTTGATTTCCAAGTGTGAGCATATAAAGGCCAGACAGTGAGAAAAACAGACAGTCAGGCAGACAGGGTTAATTTGCCATAACGGCAGAGTGAATTATTTTTGTCATGCTCTAGCAAGCTGTAGTATTGGATTTGTTTTAATTATTAAGAAATAAAAACTTTAAACTAGCACTGAATGTTCTCCTGAGAATTTGGTATCACTTACAGGATCCATTTACAACTGCCTGACTAAAGTGGTACCAAAGAAATACAAGAAGAATTAATTTTGAAAATTTACCTCTGATTAAAGAGTCTAAGCAAATGGAGTTTCTTGAGCAAGCTGCAATGATATTGTATATACTGTATTTTACTGTAGCAAAAGAAGAACTTGATATAGGAAAGAATTCTGATTCCTGAGAATATTTTACTTTTATTTAATAAACTGAACATTTCTAGTTATTATGGATGCAGGTGAAAGTGAAAAAGTCATAATGGAATAAAGAATCCTATGATCTAGAAATCACATATTTATTTCCATTTCCTTATAGCTATGTATTCTACAAGGATATACACTCATTTTATTTACTCTAAGTTGCTATGATGCCCTTATTCTTACAGTCTTTTCAAAGATAATCCTGATATAGAAGCCAATATAACCTGTTCTCAGTTTCCCCTGTCAGATTTTTCACTACTAATTTGTTCAAGCTGACATCTGCCAGAATCATACATCATCTACTAAGCTATATAAAATTTCTACCTGCCACAGTGGCTATAGGAAAAAGAAGAAATATATATTTAAAGTGTGGATAACAATATTTCTTGCTTCCATTCACTGTTACAAAAACATTTTTGGTATTTTAGCTTGCCTAAAAATGCTCTCGATCATAAACTTAAGCACATTTCTTTTCAATTAGCCCTAAATAACAGCATCACAATGTAATAATCGGCCATCCAATTTTATATTGGATTTAGGTAACAAAGGCAATCAAATAAATAAATAATATAATAAATAAATAAATAAAATAAGAAAAAGGCAACCACTACCTGACAAGGTCAATGACTCTCTCTCTTGGGGCAGTGTTAACTGCCTCATCATTAATCATTATGATTTGATCTCCTGATATAAGTTTTCCTTCTGAAGGACCACCTGGAAATACAAGCACAGATTATATTTTATTGTATATTTTATTTGTTATGCAGATACTTGAATGCTGAAAACGCTAGGGATATTTTCCCATAGTGACACATGAATGTGCAATGCATTTTTCTGCAGGTTTATAATATCAAATTAAAAATCAAATGGAACCAACATTGTTTATGGTTTTATTTGTGGTTTTGCTCTTCATTCTTTAGAAGCATTCATTGGAATATGTGGATAAGTGGTCAAAGAGGCCCTCAATAATCCAACAATCTAAGAAAAAACTAGTTGGAGTCCAGCAAACTCCAGGACTTTGTGGAAAGGTTCTGGAAGAAGTCATTTGAAGAATTTTGACTACAAAGGCTATCTTATATTGTTGCCTCTTTTGTATAGCAAAATAGTATACAATAGTATAGTTTTAAAATAGTATACTATACTATAGCAAAATAGATAGAATAATGAATGTCAACCTTCTCTAGTCTGAGCAGGCACTGTTCTCAAAGGCTTTGGGGAATTTTGGGAATTCTAGTCCCAACACATCTAGAGAATATAAGGCTGGAACATACTAACTAATGGAAATCTATCAGCAGAAGATCTGTGATAAGTAAGAAGCAATATAATGATTAGATTGTTAGCCAAACGCAGAAATCATACCTGGTGTTACTGAGCGCACAACAACAGGTTTTTCACTGCCAGCCACAAAACCAAATCCCAAAATAGGGTCTCTTTTCATTTCTACTTTCCGAGGTGCTGGAAGTATAATTTGGCAAATGTCTATTTGGGGATCGTCAAAAGGAGCAGTCTGAATCATGTGACTAAGAGAAAAGAAGACAGACATTTTTAAATCTAGGTAAGCTAAAAAATAGGTTGCTAGTTGACTTTGAAAAGGATATTAAGCAATAAGAATGTATTTTTAGAATTAAAACTGTAGTCCTCAGCATACTTAGTACGATAAAAAAAATGATTAAATTTGGTAAGTTGAGTAAACATGGATACAGGAAGTTCTCTACTTACAACCATTCATTTAGTGATTGTTCGAAGTTACAATAGCAACTGAAAATGATTTGTGACTATTTTTTGTACTTACGACCTTTGCAGCATCCCTATGGTTATGTGATCAAAAATTGGATGCTTGGCAACTGGCACGTACTTATAATGGTTGCAGTGTCCCAGGGTCTGATCACCTTTTGCGATCTTCTGACAAGCAAAGTCAATGGGGAAGCCATATTCACTTAACAACTATGTTTCTAACTGCAAGATTCATTTAACAGCAATGGCAAGAAAAGTTGTAAAATGAGGCAAAATTCACAACAACTGTCTTGCTTAGCAATGGAAATTTTGGCCTCAATTGTGGTCATAAGTCAAGGACTACCTGTATGCAGTTGCAAATCCACTAAGACACATTTATTTCATTAGAATTGGTATGAAAGAACTTCATAAAGCATTGAACTCAAAATTCTATAGATTTTTAAAAGGATTAATCAGTGTCTGAGAAAGACAATAGTTTAGATATAGTGGACAAGTAGTCTGTCTTTTACACACACACACACACACACACACACACACACATGAATATGGGTGTATAATAAACTTAACAAATTTGTTTTGTTTTGAAAAAAGAATCTTCAAGAAGGGAGAAATATAAAGTCATACTTGTATAAAGCAATAGATATATTTTATAAAATACTAAAGCAGCATGAAATTAGTGACTTACATTCATCCTACAATCAGGTATTCGTGTTATACTGTATAGAAAGGCCTATTCAATGTGTTTCCAAGATATTGTACCATTGGTGCTATAAAGTTCTTCTGCAGTTAAAGGTAGCTAGACATTTCTATTTGCATGTAACATATAACTGGATTAGTCAAGTGTTAGTAAAAATAAGATTAAATTTCATAAGTCATACTTTGGTTGGTGGCTGAATAAATTCAAGCAAAAGTTGTCAAACTTAGATTATACCTTCCAAGGATCAAATATGAGGGTTTGCACTTATTCCTGCTTTGCCTAGCCAATCAGGTTCAGCCTGTGCAAGCACACAGGTTCACTAGATTACTAGAAGAATTTAGTCAATGAGTAAGAGATGTATCATTCATGAACCTCCCTCGTTTAGTCCACCTAATCATGTCTCTCTCATTTTGCTGACACATCATCTGTATATTTTGCTCCCACTCTAGCTGGAGTAAAAGGAACAGTGTGACCAACAAAGTGAGGCTGGCATCACTTCTGTTCCACAGCTATTAGTGCATCAAAAAGCAACCAGTTCCAGAAAGGGGCAGGGAGGAGGAAGCAGTGCAATAGAGATATTAACTTGTCTGGGAGAGGGAGAAGGTGGAATGCTATCCCTTCCCAGGTTGCTGGACTAAAGCAGTCAAGTCCAATCCACTAGGATTTTAACTCAGGAAAGGAGCTGCTGTGTTCTCTGAAGAACTCTCCCTCCAGGTTTCTTCCTCTTTTTTTCTACACCTACAATTCATAAGTGCTTAGTAAATAATGTGTTTTCTGGGTCCATTTACTTAATAATACACATTAAATTCCTAATCTCTACCTTGTTTTTCCAGCCATTGATAAAATACATCCCATATTTCAAAATATTATGTGTCTTCTTTTTCTTTAATCTTCAGTGTTAGTCTATCCATTTCTGCACAGTCCAGTATTTTCTTGATTATCTGTTCTTCAGATGGTGTTTCTTCATTTTTCAATAGTGAGCAAATACAATTCTTGCTGCTGTTAATACATGCAATATTAAATATACACTTTCTTTACCATATTTTCTTGATAATATATCTAATAAAAATAGTTCCGGTTTAAAATCTACATGCTTTAACATCTTTTCTGTCAGATATGTATTTTTGTCCAATTTTTTTTGCTTTAGGGCATGGCCATCAAATATGTATTTTATTGCATTTCCAACAGTTACTAGACATGTTTTTAAACATTTTTGCTAATCTCGCAGGTGGTAGGTGCCATCTATAAAACATTTTATATAAATCTTCTTTATAAGCAGTTGCCATTATCAATTTATAATTTTTTTCCCAAGATTTTGCCATTTTTCTAATTCTACACTGTGCCCATTTTTTTCCCCATTTTATCATTGTTTCTTTCACTTGTTCATCTTCCATTTTTAAATTTAATAGAAAATTATACAATTTTTCTGAAGTCAACAATATCTGATCAAACATTGTCTGGTCTTTATAAAAACCATGTATTTTAGCATCTTTCTCATATCTCAATTATATTTGCAATTGAGGCCACCATGATAACTCAGTACCCTGATCTTCCAACTCTTGTTTAGATTTTCATTTCCCTTCAGTATTCAAAAGAACTTTATAGGTTACAATTTTCTCAAAATTAGTTAAGTTTGGGTGAACAAAAGTTTCCATTGTTGAAAGCCATCCTGGTATTTTCATATAAATTTTAGCTTTTATCTTTTCCGATACTAAAAGTGATGCATTTCTTACATAGTGATTTTGGAAGTATTTATGAATTTTATTCTTCCTATACCATAGAAAGGCATGCCATCCTCTATCTTTAAATAGTTCTTCAAGTCGAAAGTCAATCGATGTTTATAATCCAAGAGGGTCAACAAGCTTCAAAGCAATCTGTAGCTTTCACCTCACAGAAAACAACCTAGAATGTTTTTCCCCGTCCAGCTGCTCTCTGCAGAACTGAAAGTTTTCAAAAACATCAAAGAGGCTAGCTAGTTATCTATGTCTGGGCTTCATGCCAAGTTCCCTCCAGACACAACATATTTAAATGCTATGCCTCTGTTCTACCACTAGATATTGTTAAATATCCATCTTCCAACACTTAAAGCAAAACTTATTTCTTAAACTTCACTTTTTTAAAAAAAAGTCTTAACGGTTCTTTAAATTCTGTCCCCCAAGAGAAAATTAGGCCGCCGCTTTCATTTCTCTGGAAGAATGGGGGGAGGAGCCCCCTTCCTCCTCACATCTGGGGGCTTTCTTGTTTTTTGGGACTTCACCTTTTCCAGGGAATCAAGTTGCAGAATAGTAGAGAGAGGAAAAACAGTCTCACCCAGTTCCAAACACAATGTTCACAATCTGCTGATTAACGTTTCTTTCTTCAGTTGTCAGTAGTTTTGGACTCACCACACGAATGCAGCTCGTCTTTCCCCTGCCAGTTTAGAGGGCCTTTCTCAGATCAAACTGATTGACGCTGTCTTTCCGTGATCAACAAGGGTTCCCTCCTTCTTCGTCACCTCTCCAGGACGACTTTATGCCCCTTTAGGGCCCCCTGGCAGGGCAAAACCAGCCATGGGAAGTGGAGCCCCGCTTTCTCTCACCAGTGTCGCCACGATGTCAAGGTGCTGACTCCCCACCAGGTCTCTTCCTTGTTCACCACCTAGCAGCTGCTTCTAGATAGCACAACACTGATCCCTCCCCTTCCCAGTACCACATGGGAAGTTGATGTAATGTTGAATAAAATCCGAATTAGTTAAGAGAGCCTATAAATGGCAGAAGTAGCCATAAATGTGCTTGCTGCTCTTACTGCTCAAGTCCACAGATGAAGATTGTTTTGTGCTGTGGAAGCTTTGCACCATCTCTGTCAACCTGCTATTGACTTATGCATGGTTCATTACTATACAGGTAGTCCTCGACTTACAACATTTCATTTAATGACTGTTCAAAGTTACAACAACACTGAAAAAAGTGACTTGTGACTGTTTTTCACATTTACGACTGTTGTCACATTCACACCATCATGTGATTAAAATTTGGATGCTTGGCCACTGGTTCATATTTATGATGATTGCATATCCTGGGGTCATGTGATCCCCCTTTACAACCTCTGACAAACAAAGTCACTGGGAAAGCCAGATTCACTTAAGAAGTAGGTTACTAACTTAACAACTGCAGTGATTCACTTAACAACTGTAGCAAGAAAAGTCATAAAATTCATTTAACAAATGTCTCATAAGCAACAGGAATTTTGGGCTCAATTGTGATCATAACTTGAGGACTACCTGTACTGGGTCAGGTGCTAGACTTATATATGCATATATTATGACTTATGTAAAAATCTCCTGTAAAGTTTCCCTGTAGACAGCAATGACATGATCAGCATATTGAGGTCATGTGGTTTTTAAGTTACTTGGTTTACCTATTCAACAATACAGCTAATAAATCATGTTGGGGGATTTTCAGGGCAACTGGTCTATAGAGCTGACATGGCTCTGTATTAACTAATGGATATATTGGTCCACAGATCATTCTTTAAAATAGGATTTTATAGCATAGTAACTTTTATATATAATACATTCTTTAAAGATACTACTTTTATAGAATTTTAAAAGTTTTGCAAAGTTTTAATTTAGACATTATAGGTTTTCCATTCTAATATAATGTTTTAATATCTCAGTCTGCATTCAAGACATTTAAGAGCTTCGAAACTTGTTGTTGCACTGGGCCCCTGAAAATAGATTCTGGGATATTTGGGATATATTTTAAGTTGCTTCAAAATAATGAGGCAACTTTGTATACTATCAAGAAATAGCGGATCTCCAAATTCTATTTAATTTCTGCTTGAGAAATGAATTAATGTTATAATTCAGATGTGTGCGCTCTCTCTCCCTTTTTCTCTCTGAATTAAAAACACATAGACTTTAATTCTAAGTGTTATTAGCCCCCTCCAGTATTACCAATTATAAGCAGTATTTATTTATTTATTTGTTTATACCTGTAAATTTGTTTCTATTTTCCTGTCCCTTTGTATGCGAACATATACATGCCATAGCCTTTGGCATGTTCGTGCATGATAATCTTCATTTTTTTTTAAAATTACATTTCTGCCATA